TGATAAAAATAGTATTGGAAAACCCACCAGATGATTATGTTCCATATGACAGTCCAGAAGACATATCATCAGTAATGCACTGGTGAGAGGGACCACAGAATTACTAAGAATTTCAGTAGTTGCTTTTCTCTGTCACCAGGGCTGACATTAGGAGAGACTGTCATAGAGCTTGACTCATTAATAGCAGTGGGAATGATCAGACTCTCAAGTAATAGAAATTAGGTGACAGCACTTCACTGTCTCATGTTGTATGAAGGGACCATTCCCTGGAGAAGGATGTCATGCTTGGTAGGGTGGAGGGTCGACGAAAGAGGGGGAGGCCTTCAATGAGATGGATTGACACGGTGGCTGCGATGATGGGCTCAAGTATAGCAGGGATTGTGGGGCTGGCGCGGGATCGGGCAGTGTTTCGTTCTGCTGTGCATGGGGTCGCTATGAGTCGGAAACGACTCGACGGCACTTAACAACAACAACAACTTCACTGTCAAAAAACAGGGGGTTGCAATTAACCATAATAACAGGCAAGGTTGAAGGGACAGCCAGGAAGGCTTCAACTGGAGGGAGTTGTGCAGATAATTAATAGGACATTGCATCCCTACAGACAGAATTGATGGATAGCCAGTGAACATGCTGCTTAATATATGCAATAAAAAGAAGGCAAGAATGAATGAGCAGCTGGCTGCCATGGTCATTCCAATAGTAAGCCATGATCCTTTCCTCAAATCCCTGACCCAAGCCAGTTTTCAGACCCACAAACGATGACTGAAGAGGTGGCCAAGTCCACAGAAGGAAGAACCCTGAAATACCATGGCAATGACATACTGTGTTAATATTTCCTATTTCCCTTAAAAGAAACCTCTGTTCATTTACTTGGGGAAAAAAAAAAACAAACTGGGGAAATAAATATTCAGATATTTTGATAGCATTGGGTCTGAATTAACATAGGTTCCAAAGCATCATGTTAGAATGGAGATTTTAACCTCCACTGGCTTAAAGTAGGTTCATTAGGTTTGAGGACCCATCCAATGGCAATTCTCCTGTTCCCCAAGTGTGTAATTGGGATTGACATATTGCATTTGATGATGATGTAGGGAGAGATAACAGAAATTAGTGTAATCCTAAAAGATTTTCAGGATGTAGGAGTGGTTGCATATCATAGCTCCATCTGCTATTTCCAGTGTGGTCCCTACAGAAACAAAATAAGTATTGGAGAATGACTATAGACTACCACAAATTCAATCTAGTGCAGGGATACCTCAGAGATATTGTGGGTTTTGTTCCAAACCAGTAAATAATAAAGCGAATACCACACCACAGTAAAACAAATAAACAATAAAGCAAGTCACATGAATTTTTCGGTCTCCCAGTACATACAAAAGTTATGTCTACAATATCCTGTAGTCCATTACTTAGAAGGAAGATTGGGCAGTCTACTTCCCGGAAACACGAGGAGGGGTTGCTATGAGTCAGATCTGACTCTATGGCAGTGAGTTTGGTTTTTTGGTTTTGGTAGTCTGTGAAGTGTGCAATAGTATTATGAGAAAGTTTGAAATATTGTGAGAATTACCAAAATGTAACACATTTGACATGAATTGAGCACATGCTGTTGGAAAAATTGTACCAGTAGACTTGACGCAGGGTTGCCACAAACCTTTAATATGCAAAAAACACAGTATCTGCAAAGCACAATACAGTGAAGCACAATAAAACGAGGTGTGCCTGTAATAGCCTCAGTTGTGGCTATTGTGCTGGATGTGGTATCTTTGCTAGAGCAGATTGCTATAGCTTCTAGTGCATGGTATATAGACATTGATTTGGCAAACACATTCTCATCTATCCCAGTCAAGAAAAAGTACCAGAAAAGAGGGCTAGAAACAGTTTGTATTCATGTGGAATGCAAGAATATACATTTGTTGTTTTGTCCCAGGGCTATGTTAACTCTCTCTCTTTGTCACAGTATAGTCAGATGAGATTGAACTGTCTGTACATCCTGTAAAACATCAGGCAAAATGAACAAGAAGTGGCTAATATTCTGGAGGAGACACATTAACCCAGAGTATGAGAGTTAAAACCTATGATGACTGAGGTATCATTTACTCTAGTAACATTTTTTAGGGTTTATTTCGCAGGGTAATGCCAGGACTGCTCTTCCAAAATTGTTGCATCTTGCACTCTTAACCAGAAAGAAACTGAATTCCTTTGGCTTCTGGTAGCAACATATTCTATGCATAGGAAAGCTATTCCAGCCCATATACTGAGTAACATGAAAAGCTGCCTTCTTTGAGTGGGATCTGGAGCAGAAAAGAGATTGCAGTTAAATTAAGGCTGCAGTACAAGCACTCCTACTGGTTGGGTCATATGATCTTAGTGTTGGAGGTGTTAATGATAGGAAATCAAGTAGTGTGTCACTCTGTGAAGCCCTAGTAGGAGCATCACAACACAGTCTTCTGGGGTTCTAAAGTGAGGTCATACCATCTGTAACAGAGACTTGTGTGGTGTTGAAAGAGAGTTCCTGGTGTATTACTGGGCCCAGAAAGAGATAGAATTCTTGACTATAGGACATCAAATAACTCTACTTCCAGAACTGTCCATTATGACCTGGATTCCGTCAGACCCACTATGTCATAAACTCTGGCAGGCCCAGCAGCAGGCCATCATAATATTGAAATTGTGCATCAGGGATCAAGCTTAAGCAAGATCAGAAGTCATGAGTTAACTGCATTGCCAGGTATCCCAGATCCCCATATTATCCACCATGGTTATACCAGCACCCTTCCCTCAGATCATACTTAGAGCTATATGGGAGTCCCATAGACCTGAAGGAGGAGGAAAAGGCTGGACATGTTTTATGTGAAGTTATCTCATTATGTGAATGCAAGCAGAAATTGGACAGTGGCAGAATTATACTTGGAGCAGGAAGGGACTTGAGGATTACTGGTGAGGGAATAGCATCCCAGTGGACAACACCTCATTACTTATTTGGTATAGAGGGAGTGGTTGCCTGAGATAAGAATATACACATACTTATGGGTAGAGCCAATAGTCTGATAATCTGGTCAGTGATCTAGAAGGAAAAAGACTGAAAAATTGGAAACAATGAAGTTTGGAGTAAAGTAATGTGGATGAATATAGAGTGAGCATGAAGTGTGAAGATTTTTCTTGTGAATATCACCAGACACCACAAAACATCAATCACAGAAGAAGCTTGGAACAACCAAGTAGGCAAAATGGCTAGGCCAACTGACATTAGCAGGTCTTTGAATTCACACAATGGACACGTGAACAAGTGGCCACAGTACCAGAAGATGTGCATGGGCTCAGCAGTATGGATTCCCACCTACCAAAGCTGACTTAGCTACTGTCATCTCTGAGAGTTCAACATGTCAGCCACAGAGATCGATACTAAGTTCCCAATATGATGCCTTCTTCAAAGAGGTGATTTTTAAAAGGTGATTTTCCTTGTTTTGGAGGATCACTGTATATCCAATATATGTGGTAACACATTCAATATTTTCTTGAGAAATGTTGAAATAGTTTTAGTACCTTCAGTGGTGGGTAATTTCCTGTCTTCAGCCTCGTGCTTATGAAGTTATTGAGTGGTCACAACCTTAGTACAAATGGTAATCACCTTAATTTAAAAAGAAATCATAATGTTAAAGTTGATATTCAGGAAAAGAAAGCAAACAAAAAAATAAACTATGGTATCTGAGTCAACTATACCTGAGGCATTAAATCAGTTACTGTATGCAAAATTGCTTAGCTTTATAGCAGGCGTATAATACAATTTGCTCCAAATTGTTGATTGAATAATTATGAGGACTACCAGTGGCCTGGATAAGTACATTTTAAAGATACTGAAGCCTGAAAATTTAGCATTGCAATGGGAGTTGTTATCTCACTTCCTGTCTTAAGGAGAGGATTTTATAATTTCAGTTTTCCTTAATAACTCTGTTTCAGCATATGGCATCAAGTATTATCTAGAATCAACAATGATGTCCTCAGAGGTTGATGACAGGTATAGACTGTGTTGATCCTGTAACTTAATCTTTGGTGTCTCTTCTCTAGTTGGTGTACTTGCTCTCATATTCCTTGTAAACTCCTCTGCTCTGATTTCTTACAGAGTGTTATCGTCAAGCTTGAAAGGAACAGAAACAAGTTCAAATTAAGGGGGATTTACTAAGAAGATATTTGGTGTTCTCATAGCAATGATGATTCTCATTGAGCTTGTGGGATATTGAGCTGGCACCTAAAAAATCATCCTTAACAAGTTTCTATGTGTGTGTGTGTGTGAGAGAGAGAGAGAGAGACAGAGAGAGAGAGAGACAGAGAGAGAGAGACAGAGAGACAGAGAGAGAGAATATGATTTCTTTCTCTTCTTCTTTCTTCCTGTTTTTTCTATTCTCTTGCTTATTTTTCAAGGATCTATGGCATAAGCAGGGAGCTCTGGTAGCGTAGTGCCTAAAGCACTTGACTGCTAACCAGAAGACTGGCGGTTCAAACCCACCAGCCACTCCTCGGAAGGAAGATGAGGCAATCTACTTCCGTAGTGATACTGCCTTGGAAACCCAAGGAGGGGTCGCTATGAGTCGAGTCCGACTCGACGGCATATAACAACAACAACAATGGCATAAGCATGGCTGCCTAAGTCTACCCCTACACCTTACCTGTGTGTACAGCAGTTCCTAAGGAATGAACTAGACAAAATTTATTACATCTACATTTGATCCTAAATTATAACATCTAATTCTGCTAAAAGCCTCATTATGCTTTTATTTTTGTCGTGACTTATTTACATTTAAGAGGGTTTCTCACCGTCAGATGGTAACATGGAAAAAGGGTAGGGTTAGAATTCCCCATGTTTTTTCCCTAACTTTTGTCATGGCACTGTCTTCCTAGAATTGTGTGTAAACAGATTCCAGTACTATTTCAGAGAACACTGACAGGAACAGGTAAATTATACTTTCTTTCCTTTTTCTAAAGATCAATTTATCACAGACAGAATGGTTGATCAGCTCCAAGGAACTTGGAAATCCATGTCTTGTGAAAATTTTGAAGAATACATGGAAGAACTAGGTAAGCCCTGTTCCTTGCACATAGTATCCAGGCAAAAAGGGAGTGTTGATAGCACAGAACTTGGTCTGTAACAACTCAGAATAATTTTGAAACCCTTGATTTTGGTGGTGTAATGTCTAAGGCATTTGACTGCTAACCAGAAGACTGGTGGTTTAAACCCACCAGCCACTCCTCAGAAGGAAGACTGGGCAATCAACTTCTGTAGAGATACTGGTTCGGAAACCCAAGGAGGGGTCACAATGAGTCAGAATTGGTTTTTGGTAACTTCCAAAAAAAAAAAAAATGCACTGCCACTGAGTGGATCCCAACCCATAGTGACCCCCATACGGTTTCCAAGGCTGTAAACCTTTATGAAAGTAGATTGCCTCATCTTCCTACGATGGAGCAGTTAGTGGCTTTGAACTGCCAACCTTCTGGTGAGCAGCCAAATGCCTTACCCACTGTACCACCAAGCTCTTTACTTAGAAGCAATTGATTTACTCAGAAGCAATATTGATCTGGCACATATTATAAATACTGTTCTATGCAAGTCTAGATTGGGATTAAAATATTTCTTGTCCTCAAGTAATTTATCGTAGATTTACTTAGATAAAATATACATGTACCATACACTAATCAGAAAATGATTTTAATACAAGATTTAAACAAAAACAATTATTTTTTAAAAATGAACATTTTACATTTGCTCTAAATGTTTAGAGGATCTTCAGAATAGATCTTATTTTCCAGCTTCCAGCGGCTTTCAACATTCCTTGGTTTATAACCTCAACTCTCCAGTCTCTGTTCCTATTGTCACATAAAACCCTTTTCGGCTATCCAGGATAATCTCCTCATGTTAAAATCCTTTACTTAATCTACTTTTGCAAAGTCCCTTTTACTATACAAGGTCACATTCATAGGTTCCAGGGAATAGCATGTGAATATCATTGGGGGTCATTTTTCAACCTCTAATATTTTGTGAGGGGCTCTGGTAGCATAGTGCCTAAGGCACTTAACTGCTAACCAGAAGGCTGGCGGTTCAAACCCACCAGCCACTCGTCGGAAGGAAGGTTGGGCAATCCTACTTCCGTAGTGATACTGCCTTGGAAACCCAAGGAGGGGTCGCTATGAGTCGGGGCCGACTCGACGGCAAATAACAACAACAACAACAATATTTTGTGATCATGCTCCACAGTATTGAGAGCTAATGGAATTTGTTCTGCTCAGTTTTGAACTTGTTTGGTACTCATAATATCTCCTATTTGTAATGGAAATGTTTACCTTGTTTTTGTTCCACCATTGTACTGTGGAAACAGATAGCTTGTACTCTAGACTTCACGAGTGTAGAGGAGGTAGAAAGGAGTTTTGACCCAGGATAGAATATGCCAAGATTCATATTAATACTTGATTTAGTTGATTCAGAAGATACGATTTTAGACTTAACAATTGATGTTAGACTTTTGGGATGATGTTATAGGATGAATGTATTTTCCATGTGGGAAAGGCATGAACTTCAGGAGGCCAAAGGGTAAAGTTTTATGGATTGAATTATGTCCCCCAAAAATATTTGTTCTAAAAAAGAAGACCCTCAATGAGATGGATTAACACAGTGGCTGCAGCAATGGGCTCAAGCACAGCAAAGATTGTGAGGATGACATAGGACCGAGCAGTGTTTCATTCTGTTTTACTTAGCGTTGCTATGAATGGGAGCCTACTAGATGACACCTAACAACAACAGCTGGTGAAACAGCCCAATATCTCAATGCCTTGCTCCAGTGAAAGTTTATTTCTTGCTCATAAAATTCACCTTCCACATGGCCAGGCTGGAGGCTGTCCCAGGGAGAACTGTGTGGATATTGGAGTCAGGAACAAGCCAGGGTTCAAGGAAACATACAGAGTTGGTGACGTGGTCTGGCCAAGGATGGGTTTTGGAAAGAGAGATCCATCATTAGTCAGGAGGGTCAAGAGTCCTGCAACTCAAATCATGGGACATAGGATCTAACAAGGAAAGCGCAAAAAAATTGTACTAAAAACAAAAGTCATATAAGTTCTTGCATATTTTGTATCAATCATGTATCTTGAATGTAGTCAAAACTCATCAAATAGTATACTTAAAATGGGTGCACTTTAATGTATGTAAAGTGTTTCCAAGATACATTTTATTGAATGTAAAATTGATTGTTTTTAAAAATGTCACAAAACAAAATATGTATGAACCATTGAATGGAGAATGCATTTGCTCTGTAAACTTTCACCCAAATTACAATAAAAAGTTAAATAAAAAGAAAAAAATATTTTGTTCCAAATTCTGTCCCTTATACATGTAATTAGGTGCTCTGGTGGCATAGTGCCTAAGGCATTTGACTGCAAACCAGAAGGCTGGTAGTTTAAAGCCATCAGCCACTCCTCGGAAGGAAGGTTGATCAATCTATTTCCATGGTGATACCTTCTCAAAAACACCAGGAAGAGTCTCTATGAGTTGGATCCGACACGGCAGTGAGTGAGTGAGTGAGAGTGAGTGATACAAGTAGATATAGTCCTAACTGGGATTAGGTTTTCTTTGATCTGTTAATTAGACCGTGCCATTGTAGGGTGTATCTTAAGCCAGTCACTTTTGAGATACAAAAGAGTAGATCACACTAAGAAGTACCCCAAAATAAAGGATGTTTTTGATAAATGCTATCACATATAATCCCAGAAGCTGGAATATATGAAGAAGAATGTGGCGTCAGGTTTGAGGAAGACTCAATCCTGCAATATGCAGATAACACAACATTGCTTGCTGAGAGTTGCAATACTGAAGGATTCTATGGGCAAGATATTGAACGATGCAGGAAGTATCAGAAAAAAAAAAAAATGGATGGAATACACGGAGTCACTGTACTAAAAAGAATTGACTGACACTGGACCATTTCAGGAGACAGCATATGATCAAGAACCTACGGTATTGAAGAAAGAAGTCCAAGCTTCACTGAAGGAATTGGTGAATTGATGGAATATATACTGAGATGTTTCAACAAAGAGTTACTGTGCTGGAGGCAGTCACTCATTTATGCCAAATATGGAAGACAACTACCTGGCCCACTATCTGGAAGAGATCCATATTTGTGTCCATTCCAAAGAAAAGTGATCCAATAGAATGTGGAAATTATCAAACAATATCATTAATATCACATGCAGGTAAAATTTTGCAGAAGATAATCGAAAAACAGTTGCAGTAGTATATTAACAGAGAACTGCTGGATTCAGAAGAAGATGTGGAATTAGGAATATCATTGCTGATATCAGATGGATCTTGGCTGAATGCAAAGAATACCAGAAAGATGTTTACCTGTGTTTTATTGACTAGGCAAAGACATTTGATTGTGTAGATCATAAAAATTATGGATAACATTAAGAAGAATGGCAATTCCAGAACACTTTATTATGCTAATGAGAAACTTATACATAGACCAAGAGGTTGTCATTCAAATAGAACAAGGGGATACACATTTTTAAAATCAGAAAGGATGTGCATCAGGCTTGTATCATTTCCCTATACTTATTCATTCTGTATGCTGAGCAACTAATCCAAGAAGCTGGTCTGTATAAAGAAGAATGGGGCATCAAGATTGTAGGAAGACTCATTAGTAACCTGTGATATGCAGATGACACAACTTTACTTGCTGAAGGTGAAGATGACTTGAAGCACTTACTGATGAAGATCAAAGACTACAACCTTCAGAATAGATTAAATCTCAACATGAAGAAAATAAAAATACTCACAGTTGGACCAAAAAGCAACATTATGATAAATGGAGAAAAGATTCAAGTTGTCAGGGATTTCATTTTACTTGGGTCCAGAATCAACACCCATGGAAGCAGCAGTCAAGAAATCAGACGTTGTTTTGCATTAGGCAAATCTGCTGCAAAAGACCTCATTAAAGTGTTAAGGAGCAAAGATATCACTTTGAAGACTAAGAAATGCCTACCCCAAGCTGTGGTATTTTCAGTGGCCTTATTTGCATGTGAAAGCTGGACAATGAATAAGAAAGACCAAAGAAGAGTTGACGCTGTTGAATTGTGGTGTTGGCAAAGAATACTGGAAACACAGACTGTCAGAAGAATGAACATCTGTCCTGGAGGCAGTGCAGCCGGAATGCTGCTTAGAAGCAACAATGGCCAGAGTTCATTCATCTCACTTACTTTGGTCATGTTGTCAGAAGGGACCAGTCTCTGGAGAAGGATATCATACTTGATAGCGGGTCAGTGAAAAATAGGAAGACCCTCAATGAGATGGACTGATACAGTGGGTGCAATGATGGGCTGAAGCATAGCAAGGATTGGGAGGATGGCACAGGACTGGGCAGTGTTTCATTCTATTGTACGTGGGGTTGCTGTGAGTTGGAGCCAACTCGATACCACCTAAGAACAACAATAGCAATAACAACAGAGATTTAACTATGTGTAATTCTATTTCTATAGAAAACATTCTTAATGTACTAAATAAAGTTGTATGTGCAAGGATGTTCACTGAGGCATTATTTGTAACAAAAAATGGAAACAAACTAACTGCTCATCAATGGGGGATAGATAAATAAATTTGAGTATGTATATTTTATGGAAATTTGGGTATATATATTCTATGGAATAGAATTTAAAAAAATGAAAAAATGGCTATAAAAAATATAATTCTATGTGTACTAGCATGGTCTCAATGTTATTGGTAAGTCTCCAAGACATACAGATAAGAAGAAAAAACAAATGAGTAATTTAACTATAATATAACTATAAAAACCTGTTGCCATCAAGTCAATTCTAATGATTTAGAACAGAGTAAAATTGCCCCATAAGGTTTCTTAGGCTGTATAGTGTAGTGCCTAAGGCACTTGACTGCTAACCAGAAGGCTGGCAGTGACACCGTCTTGGAAACCCCAGGAGGGGTTGCTATGAGTCATGTCCGACTCCACGGCACATAACAACAACAATCTTTATGGAGCAGACTGCCACAGCCTTTCTCCCAGGAAGCAGCTGATAAGTTCAAACTGATGGTTTTTCAGTTAGAAACTGGGCACTTAACCACTACACCATCAAGACTTCTTAATATAAATATAATAAATGATATTTTGTTGTTGTTAAGTGCTGTTGAGTTGGCTCTGACCCATAGTGACCCCTTTGTACAACAGAACGAAACACTGCCCTGTCCTGCACCGTCCTCACAATCTTCCCCATGCTTGATCCCATCATTGCAGCCCCTGAGTCAATCCATCTCATTGAAGCTCTTCCTATTTTTCACTGACCCTCTACTTTACCAACCATAATATCCTTCCCCAGTGATTGGTCCCTTCTGACAACATGACCAAAGAATGTGAGAAGAAGTCTGACCATTCTTGCTTTTAAGGAACATTCCAGTTGTACTTCTTTCCAAGACAGATTTGTTGTTATGGCTGTTCTTGGTATTTTCAGTATTCCTTGCCAACATCACAATTCAAATATATCAATTTTTCTTTGGTCTTTCTTAGTCATTGTCCAGCTTACACGTTCATATGTGTGCATGTGTGCGTGTAAGTGCATGTGTGCATATGAGGTGATTGAAAAGACCATGGCTTGGGCCAGGCACACTTTTGTCTTCAAAGTGACATCTTTTCTCTTTAATACTTCAAAGAGGTCTTTTGCAGCAGTTGCCTAGGGCAATACCACATCTGATTTCTTGAACTGCTGCTTCCATGGGTGTTGATTGTGGATCCAAGTAAAATGAAATCCCTGATAATTCCAAACTTTTCTCCATTTATCACTATGCTGTTTACTGGTCCAGTTGTGAAGATTTTTGTTTTCTTTATGTTGAAGTGCAATACATACTAAGAACTGCAGTCTTTGATTTTCCTAAGTAAGTGCTTCAAGTTCCCTTCACATTCAGCAAGCAAAGTTGTATCATCTGCATATTGCAGGTTGTTAATGAATCTTCCTCCAATCCAGATGACCTGTTCTTCTTCATATAGTCCTGCTTCTTGAATTATTTGCTCAGCATACAGATTGAATAAGTGTAATGAAATGATACAAAGCTGATGGACACCTTTCCTGATTTTAAACCATGCATATCCCCTTGTTCTGTTTGAATGACAGCCTCTTGATCTATGTATAAGTTTCTCATTAGCATAACAAGTGTTCTGGAATTCCCATTGTTTTCAATGTTATCCATAATTTTTTGTGATCCGCACAATTGAATGCCTTTGCCTCATCAACAAAACACAGGTAGGCATCTTTCTGGTATGCTTTACTTTCAGCCAAGGTCCATCTGACATTAGGAGTAATATCACTCATTCCACACCTCTTCTGAATCTGGCTTGAGTTTCTGGCAGTTCCCTGTCAGTATACTGCTGCAAAAATTTGTGCTGATGAGCATGACTCAAAATGAGAAGAAATAGCTGCAAATATTCATTAATAATCAGAATGAGAAATATACAAAGTATGAATCTAGGATAATTGGAAGTTGTCAAAAATGAAATGGAATGCATAAAGATTACTATCCTAGGCATTAGTGAGCTAAAATGGACTGTTTTTGGCCATTTTGAATCAGATAACCATAGGTGTACTATGCCAAGAATGACATATTGAAGAGGAATGGCATTGTATTCATCATCAAAAAGAACATATCAAGATCTATCTTGAAGTACAATGCTGTCAGTAATAGGATAATATCCATATATCTACAAAGAAGACCAATTACTACAACTAGTATTCAAATTTACACACCAACCAGCAAAGCAAAAGATGAAGAAATTGAAGATTTTCACAGACTTTCACAGTCTGAAATTGACCAAATATGCAATTGAGAAGAAATGATAATTACTGGTTATTGTAGTGCAAAAGTTGGAAGCAAAGAATCATCATTGGTAGTTGGAAAATATGGTCTTGGTGATAGAAATGACACTGGGAATCACATGATAGCATTTTGCAAGAGGAATGACTTATTCATTGCAGATATCTTTTTCAACAATAGAAAGTGACTATACATGTAAACCTTGCCCAATGGCATACACAGAAATCAAATCAACTACATCTGTGGAAAGAGATAATGGAGAGGCTCAATAGTATCAGTCAGAACAAGGCTAGATGCTGACCGTGGTACAGACCATCAATTGCTCATATGCAAGTTTAAGTTGAATCTGAAGAAAATTAAAACAAATCCATGAAAGTCAAAATATGACCTTGATTGTATCCCACCTGAATTTAGAGATAATCTGAAGAAAAGATTTGATAGATTGAATGTCAGTGACCGAAGACCAGACAAGTTGTATGATGACATCCAGAACATCATACACAAAGAAAGAAAAGTGGTGTTAAAAACACAGGAAATGAAGAAAAGTCCAAAATAGATGTTAGAAGATACCCCGAAACTTGCTCTTGAATGGAGAGTAGCTAAAATGAATAGAAGAAATGATTAAATGAAGGAGCTGCACAGAAGATTTCAAAGGGCAACTAGAGAAGACAAAGTAAAGTATTATAATGAAATGTGCAAAGAATTGGAATTAGAAAACCAAAAAGGAAGAACATGCTCAGTATTTCTCAAGCTAAAAGAACTGAAGAAAAAATTCAAGCCTTGAGTTGCAATATTGGGGGATTCTATGGGCAAAATATTGAACGAATCAGGAAGCAACAAAAGGAGATAGAAGGAATGGACAGAGTCACTATACCAAAAAGAATTTGTTGATGTGCAACTATTTCAAGAGGTATCATATGATAATGAACTGATGGTATTAAAAGCAGAAGTCCTAGCTGCACTGAAAAACAAAGTGAAAAACAAGGCTCCAGGAATTGATGGAATATCCCTTGAGATGTTTCAACTAACAGATTCAGGAGATGCTCACTTGTCTACGCCAAGAAATTTGGAAAACAGCTACCTGGCCAACCCACTGGAAGAGATACATATTTGTGCCCACTCCAAAGAGAGGGTATCCACAGAATACAGAAATTATTGAAATATATAATGAATACCACACATAAGTAAAACTTTGCTGAAAATACTTGAAAAATGGTTGCAGTTGTATATTGATGAGGAGTGGCCAGAAATTCAATAAATGATATAATAAAACATAAATCTATATTTTAAATCTAAGTAAAAAGAAGATATCTGGAAGAATTCATGTCAAACTATTTTGCTTATATGTAAATGGGTGTATTTTTAAAATAAGGAGATGGCTTATAGCTTTAATTTGATTTCAAAGTAATCAATGATCCAACAATGTTGATAACTACTGGACTAGAGAAACATGACAACTATTAGACAAAAACTAGATACTGACTTTTTCCATATTAAAAAAAAGTCAATTTTTACAATATAATGGTGAAACCACTAGCTTTAGATACTTGAATTCATGCAGTATTAAATCTGATTAACACACAAGCCTCTCAGTTAACAAAGAATTACACAACTCTTGGCAGTTCTTGGACCCAACAACAGATTTAACTGTTGTGTCCTTTTATCTGATTTCTAGGTATAGGAAGATTAAGCAGAAAACTAGGCTGTCTGGCAAAACCCACTGTGATCATCAGTACAAATGGAGATGTGACCACTATAAAAACCAAAAGCATCTTTAAAAATAGTGAGATCTCCTTTAAACTGGGAGAAGAGTTTGAGGAAACTGCACCAGATGGTCATAAAACCAAGGTGAGGCCTACAATCTTTCAGATAGATTTTTTTAAGAATGTTAGCTGAAAACTATTCTAAATAAGATAGCACATTGTTACATAAAATATATCTAAAATCTTTAATAGATAAATGTTTAGATAACACATAGGTCCAAGAATTTCAGACTTTAACATACGTACAAATCTTGTGGGATCCTTGTGGAAAGTATCTGCTTCTAGGGCCCATCCCCAGAGGTGCTGATGTTTGGGTTAGGAACCTGAAAATTGCATTTTTAGCAATGATTCTGATGAAGTTATTTAGCAAACCACATTTTGAGAGTTATTTCCCTAGAGTAGCATTCAGTTACGGAGCTTAGTTCTCTCAAAAACAAAAGTTCTCAGTTACTATTTTGTAACAATTGTTCATACATAGAATTATAATGAATAAAACTTGTATCCACAGGTATAGGCTAAGTTATGCTACGGTAATAACCACAAACTCTTAGTGGCTTAAAAATGATGATTTTACAAACATTTTTTCTAATTCTAGAGGACCTTCAGAATCGACCTTATTTTCCAGCTTCAAGTGGCAGCCGACACTCCTTGGCTTGTGGCTGCAACACTTTAACCTCTGCCTCTCTGGGGCAAGTGGGATTATCTCTGACTCCTAGGATGTATTTTCAGTCCCTGATTGGCGAAAATGTTTGACACACTTAGCTGCAAATGGAAAGGTTGGAGTTTTGAGTTCACCCAGGGGCACCTCTGAAGAAAGACCTGGTGACCTGCTTGTGAAAAACCAGCCACTGAAAACCCTGTGGAGCACAGTCCGACTCTGACACAGATCGGGTGCCCACTAGGGGATGAATCAGAGTTTGTGTTCGGTGTTGGAATGGAGTTTGGAAACTTGGTTTATGAGGAGGAATAGGGAATATGCACCACTTAATCTGTTTGTGAAGGAGCTCTGGCACAGTGGTTAAAGCATTTTACTCCTAGTCAAATGACAAAGGTTTGAACCCACCAGCTGCTCTGTGACAGAAAGATGAGTCAGTCTGCTTCTGTAAAGGTTTACAGCCTTGGAAATCCTATGGGGAAGTTCTACTCTGTCCTATAGTGTCACTATGTATAGGAACCTGTTCGATGGCAAAGGATTTGGAACTTCTCTGGGACTCAGCATGAAGAAAATACAGCTCATACATACAAATATATGCCATCTGAAACTTGTGGTCTTCTGAATTAGCAGAGAGAGGAAGCTTTTCATTGTCTCAGCCTCGAAGAGACATGTGTAATTTTATTCACATATTATAGGCTCCAACTAATGGTCATTAGGCTGGAAAATATAATAGAATACAATAGTAAATATTTTTGGTAAAGGCTCAACTCAGTATAACTTTAAGCTCTGAGACGTAGCATTATAATGAGAACATATTACAGTTGGATAATTGCGATCTCAGAGTAGAGTTTGTAGGATATCTCAAACTTTGTGCTGTGTAACCTAATGGGGAAGACAGGGGACTCTAGCACAGTACTGCCTGCCTATGAATTACATCTATGCCACCAACCAACCTATGACCTTGGGCAAGTCACAGAAACTTGCTGACTCAGTCTTTTCATTTATGAAAGGTGATAGTAATAGTACTTACCTTATGTTGATGTACGGAAACCTGGTGGTGTAATGGCTCAAAATCTCGGCTGCTAACCAAAAGATTAGAAACTCAAACCCACCAGTGGCTGCATGAGAGAAAGACCTGGCAATCTGATCTCATAAGGATTACAGCCTAGAAATCCTATGGGGCAGTTCTGCTCTGACCTATAGGGTTACTAGGAGTCTGAATTGAAAAAAGAATAACATTTTAGCATTCAGAGGTGTTCATCTGAGCTAAATTTGGTGTTTTTCTGTTTTACAGGGTACTGTTACTTTAAATAATGACTCCTTGATGCAAGTTCAGGACTGGGATGGCAAGGAGACCACCATAATGAGAAAGCTGGTGGATGGGAAAATGGTGGTGGTGAGTGAGCTGTTTCTCTTTTCTTATCAACTACAGCACCTACATATAAAAGCTCTCAAAAACTTTGATTTAAAACAAATGAAAGTGAATGCCATTTTTCTTTTTTCTTGATTTATAGGAATGGAGGAAAAATTGCTGGCAGATAAATATATAATCCTAATCATTATAAAATATGCACGGGTTAGAGAACCAAAGAACTAAAGAATATTTTAAAATGTTATAGTCCAATACGTTGACTTACATATAAGCCCAAACAAGTATGTATTGGTGCAAGAAAGATTTCAGCAGGGATTAAGAGCTATTGTCAATCTCCTACGCCATGCTGGAATTAATTCGTCACTGTTCTCCAGCTCAACACCAAACAAAGCACGAAAAGGAAATTTAAACCAGGGTTACAAAACTGCAGTGGTGTCTACGTTTAGAGGGTTACCTCATCCCTATGTTTTCGTATATAATTTACCCAATCCTCAGAAATCCTGTGAGGTAGGATTTGTAGCCAATTTATCAGTTGAGGAAACCGAAATTTAGACATTAATTTATTTAATATATATATATAGCTAGAAAAATATGGTGGATCTGGAATTAAAACCCAGGCTTCTATAATTCTAAATTCTACACTGATTTGAATCCATCCTGCTCCCACTCAGGATGACTCCCTAGGTCATCTTTCCCTCTTCCACCAAAAAGCACACGCACACACACACACACCAACTGACCAAACCCATTGCCTTCAAGTCAATGGTGACCCCATGTGTGTAAAAGAGTAGCACTGAGTTCCATAGAATTTCCTTGGCTGTGATCTTTATGACAGCAGATCACCAGGCTTTTCTTTCATGGCAAGGCTGGGTGGGTTTGAACCGTCAAATTTTAGGTTATTAGTCAAGCATAAACCATTTGTGCCACCCAGGGATCTCCCACTAATACAGAATTGGGGATATATGTCAACGATTCTCTTTCTCCCAAATTTCCACCTTTACCAAATGAATAAAAAGTAATTTTTTTTTTTAAATTTTATTTTGATTTGGGTGAAGATTTACAGAGCAAATTCACTTTTCATACAGCAGTTCACATATACTTTGTCTCATGTCATTGACCAAAATTTACAATACAACAACTCCTCTCCCACTTCCTCCCCATAGCCACCTCTTCCCAGTATCCATCCCTCCATACTCTTCTGCGTCCTGAGCTGTCTCCCTGTGCATAAGCAGCCCTTCCTTCTCCCATGATTGTTCTCTCCAGGGTGTGTGTCTACTTGAGGTAAATGTTTAACTCACTTGCCTGTACTTTGTTTGGCTGGAAACCACAGGTGTGGGTTCAATTCCAGACCTGAAGGGCAGCTAGGGGCCATAGTCTCAGTGGTTTCACCAGGCTCTATTGGACCAGCAAACCTGGTCCCCACCTAAAAAGTAATTTTTGACATGACACAAAATAGTTCAAAGAGAATATCAAGACTGGTGTCGAGGTTTCTGTTAAAGCAAAAACTATGTTCTTTTCTTAATACAGAGATTTTTTATCCTTCTATACTGAAGACTACATTTTGTTCCTTGTCAAATCAGAAGGGAGAATCAAGGATGATAGGTTTTATTGCTTTTTATAATGATATTAGATAATAGTCAGACAAATTTTATACCTCATTAGGAATAACACTAGACTTAGAATCTAAGGAAGTGGATTGCCACCTCTGCCAATTACATGCCTTTGAATACGTCATTTATTATTTCCAAGATTCAATTTCCTTACCTTCAAAATGGAGACAATGTCTTCCCAGAAAGTTTTCTGAGAGAATTAAATCTCTCTCTCTCTCTATCTATATCAGAGTTCTGAAAACTATAAAATATCACATCTATGTAAGTTATAACTATCATTACTTGAAAACGAGTATGTAAAATAATAAAAATGCTTCAATGTAGTCATTTTAAGTACCTTAATAACTGCTTTAAATTAAAAACTACCTGCAATATTTTATGTATATAGCAATCACCTAACAAGCAGATGTTATGCAACTAACAAAAACAATAATATAGTTGTTTATATAGATCAATTTTCAAAATTTTTAGTAATATATGTAGCTTGAAAGAAACCATGGTTGAGAGCTTGGCTACTAACTGAAAGATCAGTGGTTCAAACTCACTAGCCCAGCCATTCTGTGGGAGAAAGGTGTGGCAACCTGCTTCTGTAAAGATCACAGCCTTAGAAACCCTATGGGGCATTCCTACTTTCCCTACAGGGTCCCTGTGAAATTTACTCAATGGCACACAACAACATGATGTTGTTGTTGTTAAGTACCTGTCTTGGTTATATAGGTGTTGCTGTAACAGAAATAATGTGGATGGCTTTAACAGACAGAAATTTATTCTCTCATGGTTAAGAAGTTAGAAGTCTGAATTCAGGGTGCCAGCTCTAGGAGTAGGCTTTCTCTCTGTGTCACCTCTGGAAAAAGGTCCTCATTTCCTTTCAACATCTATGGGCCCAGAATGCCTTAGAGATCTCCACATATCTTGGTATCAATCTTTCCCTATGTCTAGGAGCATCTCAGTTCAGGGAACTTGTGTCCTGGTCCTTCTTTCTAGGTGGTACTGAGGATCATTTTTCTCTGTTGGCTTCTCTCTCCTTTTATCTCTTGGATTCATCAGATCAAGGCTGTGATGTAAGTAAAGGTGTTGCATTTCACCCTAAACCCATTACAATTGATTGGCTGATCACATCAGATCACAACATGGGCAATGATTATGCCAGTAAATAATTCCAAATTACATTACTACACAACTGCCAAACCACTAAGAATCATGTCCCAGCCAAGTAGTTGACACATATTTCTGGGACACAAAATTCAATCCATGACATGATACACTTTGGCCTCCCAAATTCATGTCCTTGCTGTATGCAAAACACTTTAACCTTATCTTATCATACTAAAAGTCTTAAATCAACTCCAAGTCCAAATTCCTTCAGGGCAAAATTCCTCTTCATCTGTGAATGTAGAACACAAGTTATTTGCTTTCAAAGTACAATGCTGAAACAGGAACAGGGATGAGGTAGACACTTCCATTGTGAATGGGAGAAACTGGGGGGAAAGAAGGGATAAGAACCACCAAACAAATCAAAAACCCAGCAGAACAGTTTACATTAGCTGTCAAGACTGAAAATAATTGTGTGTTCTTTGAGACCATCTAGGCAATGGCCATGCCCTCCAGACTCTAGGTGTTGGCTATGTTCTCTGGATTCTGGGTAGAGACCCTTCAGACCTGGGCTTCAGCTCTGCCTTTCAGACCCACCGGGAAAGCAAGTCTTCTCCCTCTGCTTTGGGTGCTACCAGTCTCCTAATCCAATTGAATGGCAATACCACACCCATGGCCCAAGGAAGCCCTGTTCTTCTGCCCCTTAGGCATAGTAGCGACTCATAGTATGTCCTTGGGCATAGCTGTCCCTCAGCTTTGGGAAGGGTCTCTAGCTTCCTCCTACTGGTACTAGTGAACAGTAGCTCCACAGTCTGGAACCAAGTTGGTGACGATCTGATTGTTTGAAACCTAAGAAGCTAGTGTCCCATTTTTGAGAGCCAGCAGACTATGGTTCCACCCTTTGAGACCTCAGAGGTCATAGCCCTACATCTTCTTTTCTTCTTCTTCTTTTTTTTAATTTTTACTGTGATTTGGGTGAAAGTTTACAGAGCAAATTCATTTTCCATACAGCAGTTCACATACACTTTGTCACATGACATTGACTGTAATCTCCTACAATGCAACAGCTCTCTTCCCATTTCCTCTCCATAATTACCTCTTCCCTGTGTCCTTCCTTCCCTATGCACTCCTGTCCCTCAAGCTATTTCCCTGTGAATACCTTCTATTCTCCCGTGATTGATCCCTCCAAGGGGTGTATCTATCTAATGTAAATGTTCAGCTCATATGACTGTCTGTTGTTTGGCTGGAAGCCACAGGAGTAAGTTATGTTCCAGAACTGAAGGGTAACTAGGAACTGTAGTCTCAGTAGTCTCATCAGGATCTATCAGACCAGCAAACCTGGTACCCCCTGTTTTTTTTTTTTTTTTTTTTTTTAATGATTTTGAGTTTTGTTCCACATTGTTCTCCCACTCTGTCCAGGATCTCCTACATAGATCCTGCTCTGAGTGGTTGACAGTGGTAGCTGAGCACCATCTAGTTATTCTGGTCTCATGGTCATAATAGGCTGAGGATTGCATGGTGTACCAATCCCTTGTACTAATTATTTCCAAGTGTCTTTGATTTTCTTCATTCTTCTTTGTTCTGGATGAAGAGAGGCCCATCGTTGCATCTAGATGGCTGCTTGCAAGCTTTTAAGATCCCAGTCACATAGCCCTACCCTTTGAGACTGAGGAAGCTCTGTTTTCCATACTCTTCAGCTTCTGCTTCCTGGTTCCTTGGCCTTTTAACCCCTCAGTCCCTTGGGATTCTTGGGCTTGTCCAGCCTTTGCCCTGCTCAGGCAAGTGTTACAAAGCTCTTTAGCTCTACCAGTAAGTGCCCAGGGGTACCCCACTCTAACAGTAAGCATTGGTCCACAGACATACAGTTCTTTTGCTTCATGATTTGGTTTTTGCACTACCTCACACCTCACACTAGTCTCCTGGTTCTGCTGCTGCTGTTTCTCCACCACTTCTCTTGCTGTCTGCATCATCTCTGGTGTTACTGCTCTCATCATATCCTTCTGCACTCTCAGAAGAATGCCTTTGATGTCCATAATTCCAACAACAGTCACTTCAAGGCAATTTAGGCTTTTATTATTAGGCATTTTAAAACGCGTCCAGCCTCCAGCCTTTACCCAAACCACTTCCACAGTGTAGGTATTTGTTAGAGCAGCATCTTACTCTCCCAATACTAAGTTCTGACTTAGTTATCTAGTGCTGCTGTAACAGAAATACCACAAGTGGATGGCTTTAACAAACAGAAATTTATTTTCTTACAGCTTAGCAGGCTAGAAGTCAAAACTGAGGGTACTAACTCTAGGGGGAAAGTTTTCTCTTTCTGTTGGCTCTGAGGGAAGGTCTTTGTGTCCTGTCAACATCTGTGGGCCTTGGGTCCCTTGGAGATCTCCACATGTACTGTCATCACCTTCCCCAGGGATGAAGAGGTTCTCAGCACAGGGACTCCAGTCCCAAAGGATGCACTCTTTTCCAGGCTCTTTTTTCTGAGTGGTACTGAGATCCCTCTTTCCCTAGCCCACATTTTTCTCCTATTGTCTCTTGTAAGATAACAAGTAGTGTAGGCCACACCCCAAAGAAACTCCCTTACATCAGATAAGGACTATAACCTGAGTAAAGGTGTTGCATCTCACCCTAATTCCCTTATAAGTGATTGACTGATCACATCACATCACAACATGGGGGATTATCACATCATTACACAATTGTCTAATGATATCATTACATAAATGCCAAACCACTGAAAATCATGGCCCAGCCAAGTTGACACATATGTTTTGGGGTAACAACTCAATTCGTAATAATGCTCTCAAGTCATTTCTGATTCACAACAACCAGCTTTTTGGCCCCTAAAAAAAATGAAACACTGCCCTGTCTTGTGCCATCCTCCCAATAGTTGCTATGTTTGAGCCCCTTGTTGCAGACATTGTGTCAATCCATCTCATTGAGGGTCTTCCTCTTTTTCTCTGATGCTCTACTTTACCCAGCATAATGTCCCTCCTGATAAGATATCCAAAGTATGTGATACCATCTTTGACTCTAAGGAGCATTTTCACTGTACTTCTTCCAACACAGATTTTTTTCTTCTCTGAAAGTCCACAGTATATTCAATATTCTTTGTCAATACCATAATTCAAAGACATTAATTCTTCTTTGTTTTTCTTACTCATTGTCCAGCTTTTGCATGCCTATGAGGTGAATGAAAATCCCCAGGCTTAGGTCAGGTGCACCTTAGGCCTCAAAATGACATCTTTGCTTTTGAACACCTTAAAGAAGTTTTTTGCAGAAGAGTTGCCTAGTGCAATACATTATTTAATTTCTTGACTGCTGCTTCCAGGAGCATTGATTGTAGACGCAAGTAAAATGAAATCTTTAACTACTTAAATCTTTTCTCTTTTCATAATGATGTTGCTTATTGGTCCAGTTGTGAGGATTTTTGTTTTCTTTATATTGAGGTGTAACGCATACCGAAGGCTGTAGTCTTTGATCTTCGTCAGTAAGTGCTTCAAGTCCCCTTCACTTTCAGCAAGCAAGGTTTTTGTCATCTGCATATTGCAAGTACTTTTTTTTCACTCTAAATTTTATTTATTTAGTTGTTGAGGATATACACAGTAAACCATACACCAATTCAACAGTCTCTACAAGTAACATTTAGTGATATTGATTATATTCTCTGAGTTGACAACCATTCTCACCCTCCTTTTCTGAGTTGTTCCTCCCTCATCAACATAAACTCACTGCCTCCTAAG